TCCTCGATTAATCATTACTAATGGTATGGTAGGTATTAGTATCTTGTTTTGTCTTTTTTTCTCCTCTTCTGTTTAGTTTTCAAGTATTTGCTGAATTAAAATATTATTTATGCTACCTGAACTTCCAACAGCGCGCAGGAGAATCTGGGGTCCAAATTCTGCAGCATTTATTCCAGTACAGTTGCTCTCACCTCAAGTGTGCTGATATGCAGTGATGGAGAGAACAACCTTCTCCTTATGAGACGACTTCTGTTCTAACTGAGCCTGAGCTGTACGTGTTCTTGACCAAAACAGTTCAGCTAGGCTGAGTTTGGAAGATTTAAAAGCCCTCAATAGACAGATGACTATTCATCAGATGCTCAAATATCTGGATTGCTTTGCTTGGAAGAAAAGCTGGACAAGTGAACATACTGGTTCATTGCCAGCCTTTTGAGACATTCAATATCTATTTCTCTGCAGGCTAGTTTTGTGGCTAGAGAACTGTTTTCCTTAAAATTTGCATGACAGTCACACTGCCAGAAAGACCAGACATTTTTTTTTCTAATACTAGAATGCATAGAATAAAACACTGGAATTTTTTTCTATGTGTGTGACATAAAGAAATGTATGCTCTTAAAAAGATGTGCTTAAATCTCTAATTTGCGTATCTGGGTTTTCTTTTGATTGTTAGGTGATTCCCAACTATTCCACCAGAGATGAATATGAGAAGATGTTTGCTCTGGGAGTAACAATGTAAGAAGATACCTCACCATTAAAACATATCAAATAGTTAACTAAAATGTAATTCAGACATCAAGCAGTGGCTGGTTACAATTTCTAATGTAGAGGGATTTCAACTGTGCTGCACAAAGTCATGATGCTACAAAGCATTAATGCACACTTAAGTGGAATTACTTAGGAGTTTGAGTTATGTTCAGCCACATATATAAGGATGTAATTGAGGTCTGCTAGGAATTAGTATTAGGTTTATGTGTGGGACTTGGCTGAATTACAGTCTGAAGCCTTAATCATAACCTACTTACAGCACTGGCTGGTTCCACTTTGCAGTGGTTGTTTTGCAATCTACAGAAAACACAAATTATGAAACATTCCTTTGCACTAAGAGAAAGCTTTGAAGTAGAAAGTTATCATTTTTTATATTTTTTGAATGATTATTTACCTACTCTTTTACTGCTCATCTAGTTGATGAGCAGGATTATTATTCTGTTTTGTACCATGGCGAGAATAAATTAAAACCACTAGAGAGCTGAGTGTGTACAGATAAAGGAGCTGGAAGAATGGGCATGAATAGAGAATGTCCATGAATAGAGAATTGCCACTTTCCTGGGAATTTCATAGGTATATGGACAACTATTCTGGGCTAGCAACTTCGAAAGTGACTATGTGACTTAGAAGCATGAGTGCCACTGGAAACCAATGGCATAAAATGCCAACAATGTGAAAAGGAGTGTCCTTGTGTCCTAGTCACTATGCTAAATACCAGAACAAGTTTACACTCAGTTTTTTGATCCATCCTTTTTTTTAACTCAATTTTAAGAGCTAAATGATCCTCTGAAAACATGTTGGTGCATTGCTAATGAAGAAACTCCATTAAGTTATGAATTTGATAATAGCAGATCTTTAACAATGAATGGAAGCACAGACATTTTTTTTGTTATAATAGAAACATACATAGACATGTAGAGAATTCATTCCAGCCTGAGTAACGTGTGGTACAATTGTGTTTGTTGCTATTGCTAGGTATGGTCAGATGACTGCAGGGAGCTACTGCTACATTGGGCCTCAGGGAATAGTCCATGGGACTGTGGTAAGAAACTGGGGAATGGTCTATTTGTCGGTACCTTTTGGAGGAGGGTATCTCCCGCAGTCACTGGTGACTGGAGTGGATTGGATTGCTGCAAGAGGATGTTGTGGCTACCAGAGAAATTCTCATTACTGGCTTCTTAAAAAAATCAGTGTCCTTCCACTCAGATAGTCCTGGGCATCTTATCCAGAACACAGACCTGAAGGAATCTGCAGTCAAGGTCTCAATCTGAGCTCATATCTAGCTACAATAACTGAAGTAGGAATTGACCAAATCTGTTAGATGAAAACATTTTCTTAGCTGTTTTCCTCAGCTGTCCTTTGCAGCCGTCCTGAATAAGTTTCTATACCCCAAGAGCAGCATGTTGGGAAACACTTATTATTCCATCCTATTTCATGGTGAGAGAAATAGACATAATCAGGACAGATGGTTTCATAACATCAGTTTAAGACATGTTTCCTTCTTAAAAGATTAAAACAGTTTCATGGTCCCAATGACCCCCAAGTTTCAACCTCTGTTTGCACAGGGGACAGATCTTTAAATTTCAGGTACTCTAGGAAAACCAGCTCCTGACAACTGCTGTATTGTGTGTGCAGCTCACAGTGCTCAATGCAGGCCGTCGCTACTTGAAGGCAGAAGACCTGTCCGGAAAGGTGTTTGTTACTTCTGGTCTTGGAGGGATGAGTGGGGCTCAAGCAAAGGCTGCAGTCATTGCTGGGTGCGTGGGGATCATTGCAGAGGTGAGAGCAATGCTTCTTTCATTTTGTCATCTCTTGTTCATGTGCTGAATCAGAACCCTCATTCTCTTGATCTGACACGTTCCTCAAGTAACCCTGACAAGCTAAAGTCATGTAAAGATACTCTTTTCTAAGATCTGTCTGTGCTTTTCATTGCTGAGCATTTTTCACTGCTATTTCGCCCTCTATTTGTTCACTCACTGGATCAGACTGTGAGGATATGGACTGCAACTTCTTAGGATTCCTTCACAAATAGTGCAGAATGATGCTGTCAGATGAGCCTTTCTCAGTGCTTGAGCTACCCTCATTTCATGTGTGAAAGGGTGTAACTTCCACAAGCAATTCCCATGGGAACCACACCCTCTTATGCTACAAAAAGTCTGTTAAAAAGGTGTTAGTTACATTATGATTAATCTTTAATGCCTCTGGCACCCTTATCAGGTGCAACGGAAAGTACCTGTTAAAAATGTTGGTATGATTCACTCATCAAGGTTGAGACTAATGAAGTTGCTTGGTGGTGTGATTCGTTGAAGTCAATGGGATTTTGTAAAACTGGGAATTTTAAAGTTGGCTTCAGTATGAAGATGGTGAGGATAACTACAAGCACTTATGTCTACAAGTTTGTAGACAAAGAAGGTAATTTCTGTTAAGGGAAAATGCTGATAGAGGAGAAATTCTGTAGTGGCATTTTCCCTGTTCCCTGAAGCTCACCCACAGCATTTATTCTTTGTAGAGAGTCTTTCATCCTGACGTAATGTTTCTCTGTTCCAAATATATTAAAATAGCCCAGCTATTTCCTCCCATAAACAAAGAGAATCTAATAACCATCTGTGAATCAAAGACTGCTAATGTCCAAGCAATCAGTAAAGTGTATGATAGGATCCACTGGATCCACAGATATCTCTAAGTATCTCATATAATGCAGAACACCAACATCATAATCTTGATTAAGTATATATGCCTGCAAGTTTTGACTGAAATACATTTTCATATAGAAAAGTATCAGGTTCTCCTAATACATGCAATTTTCAGCTATTATGCTTATCACAGGGTTCTGTTCTGACAAATCAGATGGAAGGATGGCCTACAAAAAACACTGCAACAATTTTTAACAGAAAATGTTGCTCTACAGTTCTGTGAAAATGGGAGTGAATATCTTTAATGATATTGACTATTGACAAACAAACATTTCCATGCATTTCTCTCCTCATGACTACCTTTGAATTCAATACACTTGGGAAACACTCTTGGTGGAGCAGATACAGGACCGACCAAAATGTATTGAGCTCTTTTGACTATCTGCAGTTAATGAGCTCTTGTTACTGTTCCAGAGGAAAAGAGATTTTTGAGAAGTAAGCTCCAGTCAGAGCTCACAGGCGTGGGAGTTTAGCCTTCTCGGCCAAAGTCATTTATGGAGAGAATTAGCTGGCACACCTCTGCTGTGGGCATGTCACTTGCTGCAATGAAAAGGATAAGAATACTGCAATCTGACCAATGGCAATTATAAATAAACTTCAAAACATAATGGGTCAGACTGCCCACGTGGCATGCAGTAAATGTGACCTGCTCTAACTCAGGTCTTATTCATGGAAGGTTAGAGTTTCATCTGTTTTACAATGACGGTGCAAAAGTGGTTTTGTTAGTACATGAGTTTTGTGTGTATTTGAGATCTCATCAGGTACTCCCTGCAGATGAAATAAATTTATTGAATTTGTTGTTGAATAAATTGTCTTTATTCAGACTTCTAATCTGTCATCATAATCTTTCAAATGCTAGAATACAAAAGAAAGATTCCAGTGAATGCGATTCACAGCAGTCCTTTGTCCTTTTCATCTCTACGGCTACAGATGATTTTGTTCAGGAGACTGAATATCGCCTGGTTTTTATCTCCTGTGGGATGATCCTTGTCGGAAATGAGTCTCAGGAGCACATGTGGACAGCTATATATATGTACATTTTATTTATTTAAGGAACTATTTATGCAAATGACATTGAATTGTGCAAGAGATGTCATTTTGTCAGCCAGGGCTTCTGAAACTCAGACAGAAGGGATTAATGGTGCAAGTCTTTTACCTCTTCTGTTTGACACGAAGCAGATGATTGTAATTTTATGAAATAATTGTGCGGAGGGCCAGACTATCTCCTCTAAGCTCTCTAGGGCTACACTGGAGGTGACATTAGCTCATCATGTTTGTGCAATTTTTTTAAACTACTGCGATGCTGATCAAAAAATGAGCATAGTTTAGAAAATGTGGTTCAAAGTAAGCTGATTTTTCTTGACTATGCTAGTAAGCCTGTGAAAGACTAAGACTGTCAGAGAGGGCTGAAGTAAAATATGTAGGATGTGGTAACAGATTTAAGTAGATCTGATCTGTTTTATACTGAGCTTTAAATGAAACCAATTCCTGTAATTCATACAAACCATTTAGTATCTTTCTTCCTGTGCTGATTTAAATAACTCCCAAAGAAGCTGTCCCCCATGGCACCTGACTTTATTGAATAATTCCATTGGCACTGACACTGATATTATCATAATCTGTGGTTTTGGAAGGATAGTCTTTATTACTGATGTGGGAAATGATGGAAGGTTTCTTGTGCTAAGAATAATTAGGAAAGAAAAGGTTTCCTGGTGCTCAAGCAACTCCTGAATACAGAACTTAATTTACATATAAATACTTTGTTAATGAGAAAAAATAGAATGAATTATAGAGAAGTAAAAATGCTTTAATGAAGTACTAAAAGATACTCAAGTTGTGTTCTTACGCACACAGCCCACCGTGGGTGTTTAAATCTGTTGCTACCCCAGAAAATTGGCTTGAATTAATTTTGCAACTTGCTTTGTGCCACTGATAGCTCATTATAAAAGTATTAATGATGTGCAAGTTTATACATTGAACCATTAATACAGAATCTGTGCCAAAGCCTCCACAGTTTGTCTATCCATTTATATTTTTATCCAGCTGTCTCCTATGCATATACACACTGACACACGCAGAAGCTGAGCCCAGAAGACAGTACAGATCTGGGACTGAGCTTGTTTGGAGTTTCAAAGAGCTCAAGAGGGAATTAAAAATGTAGTTTTGTTTTGATCCATTCCATTTTTCAGAGGCACGAGCCAGCTGAGACAAGAAAATGCTTTCCTCTTTTCTTTTCCATATTTGGTTGAAATTTTCAACCAGCAGTCAAAGAACAAAAGTGAGGGTCAATTTTATTCAGCAAACCATTGCTTCATCCTGGGCAGTCTGGCAGAAATGTTGATCTCTGAGCTGATGGAAGAAAATATTTCTTTAATTAAATAGAAATTTTATTTTCACAGAAAATATCCAGATTTGAAAAATAAATTGGAAACATTTTGGCTTTCATTTTTCTAATGTAATCACAAAAGGAAACAATAAGAATAATTAAAATTGGCAGAAAAAATTAACCGTTGTACAATTGTAATAATTTTCAGTTTGTAAAATATTTTGGGAAGTGATGTATCAAAAAGCCTTTTTTCTTGCTTTGAGCCTGGAGTAAAAGAGAAGAGAAAGTGTAAAAAAAAAAAAAAATCAGAGGAAAAATAAGTATTTGAACAATCACTCCATATTCTTAAGGCCAAGGCAGAGCTATTCCCTTTATCTAGTTGCTACTCTTTCTGGCAGGCTAATTGAAAAACTAAAGGTAAAAGTGACTGGGTAGGGGAAACAGGAGTTTTAAGACCTCTGCTATTTTTCTTAGGTCGATGAAGCAGCACTTTTGAAACGTCACAAGCAGGGATGGCTGATGGAAATCTCTAACAACCTGGACCATTGCATTGCTCGCCTTAGGTATGACTTGTAACATAATTCAGTGGGTTTATCTCTGCTTCCTAATCCGCACTTTGCATCTTTCTGCATTGTGACATTTTAGTGTGCTTATAGAAGGAGTTGAGGGACACACCTTCTTATTCCAGGTCTGCTTCTGAATGTGAATCCATCCTTCCAAACAGCAGCAGTCATTATTAGTGACTACCAACACATACTGCAAACCACTACCAATGCTTCATATCATTTATATATGTTAAATGTGTCTTCATTCAGTTTCATGAATATGCATAGAGCAATTACAAATAATGTTACACTTGCATCCCTCAAGCTTTCTGGAATCAGCGATTAACAATTACATAAAGCTTGAAAGATCTGTTGCCTAGATGAGTGTTGGAAACTGTGTAGACTTTTTTTGCTGGGTTTGACTCAGTGGTTTGTACATTGCAAGATGGAATTACATGAGGTGCATTTTCTTCAACCAATCTTTTTAATCTATTCTAGAGATGCAAGAAAGAATAAAATTGCCCTTAGTTTGGGCTACCATGGGAATGTAGTAGATCTATGGTAAGTAGCACATATGCATAATGGATATATTATTGCTCTTGCTTGTTAGTCAACCTGGAATTAGTTCCCAAACTTGGAAGAGAAGAGTCATTAAACCTAGTGCTGAGTTCATTACTCTAGATGCTCATGAAAAACTGTATTGTCAAAAGTGGGGTCTTCATCCTTGAGTTCTAGTTCCCAGTTGCTTCCCATGTACCTTCTCCTTTCCTTATGGAACAATGACTTTCTTAAGGAAATAAATCCTTGAGATTCTTCCTTGGATGAAGAAAGAATTTATCCCTTTCCTCCTAACCTCTCATGAATTGGATAGTAAGAAAATATCTTTGACTTCAGTGAAGAATGGAAATAGAGGTATTGATTGAATAAAAATAATCAGATGATGGATAGAAATTCTGGCACTCTCGAGGCTCTATCCAATGGTAAATCTTGCTGTCACACCATATACCAAGTTTTGAGACCGACCAATAAGACTGGTATGTCATACTGGTATCTGACTTATCTATCAGCATTCCT